GGGAACCAGAAGAGCTAGAAAGCTGAAACTTTAAGGGAATGTTTTCTAACAGTCATGGAGGTCAGTTTCAATTCTCTTGGTCAGAAGCAATTGCCGGAAAAAGCAGTGCCGTTAGTGATAAAAGCTTGCGGGGAACTGTGCAAAAAACGCATTTTCACACCGGCAGTCGGTGCGCTGATTAATTATTTAAGTTGTGAACAATCGAAACCTTTGTGGTAGATACTCAGAGAGGCGAACATCATGTACATCCGTTGCGAAATCCATCTCATACGAGCCACCTTCGATACGTCGAAGGTTAAAGCAAACAACCAGTGTGCCAGCAGTACTTGTAATTCGTGCAAACTGCGAAAATAACGCATCCGCGGTATGGAACGGTGAGTACTGGTACACTATATTCATCTCCAGCACATGCTGAAAAAACCTTCATAATTTTGCATCGTCAACGTCTGATACACGCTGTTCTACAATAACTGTATTACCCAACATACACGTATAAGTCGCGTTGTTAGCATTCCGTTCATATTGCTACTTCCTGCTCTCGACACTTTTCCATTTCTACATTACAACCTTCTAATCTTTTACAAATACCCTAAATTTATACTTTTTAAAAAATCCTTCCCGTTCCTATCTTTTTCTTTCTTCCTGCCTTCCATTCCTTCTTCTTATCTCTGAACACTGCGACCGTCACACTGACGAGGTCCAGTCGTGGTGTTGAGTTAAGACGTATATGACTTCATGGACCGAAACATCTTAACTCTCTCGTACTTATTTTCCTGTACCAGCAATATTTCTACATCTTGCATTGCATAGTTCGTTCTATTCCTGCCTTCTTTTTTAAGTTCATATTACTTCCATGCTACAATCATGCGGTAATCAACTTAGTAACGAAGTCAATTAAATCAGCATATTTCTATAAATCCTCAATATCCCATTAATCCTACTGCGATTTTGGAACGGCAATCTAAAAAAAGAGGTATGGGGGGACGAGAAGGAGGGGTGGGGCTTCAATGCATCAAGAATATCTCGAAACAGCCAAACTTTT